CCCTGAGTGGGGGAATTTGCTATTGCAACCAAATAAAATGCATATTACATAAAGCCTCTTCCTGTCACATTGCAGGTGGGAGTTTCATCTCTTGGAACTGACCTAAAGAGATTTATTATCCTCATAGCAAAAGGGCCTCATCATAAGCAGCTTTGCTTAGAGTGTGGTCAGCTTAACATGGATTGCTACAGATAGCACACGAATAAAGCTCTTAAGTATTCATGAATGTAAATTTCAACAGTTATTTCACCAACTAGTCATAAAGTAATTTTATTCCTTTCCACTCTGGCCTTTGCAAAGCATCAGCATGTTTATGCTATTGAAGTACTTATTTGCTATAAATTAACTTTAAATAAAATTGTTTTGGATTATTAAACAATTGATTTATAGTTGTATTTCAGTTGACAACTACTGTTTGATATTTCTGTACGCAACATAGATAAAAGTCACCCCACCGTTAGTCAAAGCCTAGAGTTTAAATGAACTTTAATTTTCATAAATCTTTTAGTTAAATTTCTCTCTGCTGATATCAAGCTCCTAGTAATTAAAATTTTTCATAAGGTAAATGTCAATCAATACAGATGTCAATATGTGTTAATAATGGCACACTCAAATGAAAACAGCAAAGTTACATCAACTCCTCTGTTTAAAAAAAATCCCTTCCGCCCTGGTACTTCCCCATGCAATTATAATAGGACTTAAAAAAAAAAAAAAACTACAAAGACATTAAAAGCTTTAATGGCCATGTCGGTAATAAGATGGTGATAAATCCCATGGTGGAAATTATTAGCAATCATGACTCCAGAAATAATGTTGCCAGATGATGCCGAATGATTCCTGGATTTAAAGAGAAAGCAGCAGACAATTCTGCCTACATCTAATTTGCCTGAATGCCACTGCTGCTAGACATTTTTGATCCAATTCAAAGAAAGTAAGTTCAGCTAACACTTAGGAACTATCGCTGTGTTGGAGATACAGATGCTGACAAGTTCAGTTCAAAGGCAGTTTTGAGACTAGAATTTTGAGGTTGGAATTTTGCAAACATGCCCCATCGTGCTAACAGGGATCCAAATCAGCCCACAGAACGCTTTTAGTTCAGAAATGTGTCAAGTATCGACCTTGAGTCCTCTGGAACCTGATCACCATGCACGCCTCCTCAGCTGCTGCTCCAAGCCACCGAGAGTGGCCCGGTGCCTTTGAGTGGGGCAGGGCTTCCACTGAGCTGAGGACTTGGGTGAAGGCCAGGGTGGGGTGTGGGCAGCTGGGTGGTGGCAGGCGCTCTTTCAATCCCTGCCTCTTTCAGGGCACCCTTTCTTCCTGCTGGCCTCTGCCATTTGTCAGTCCAAGGTGGCAGGGGAGTCTCTGGAAAGAAGGAGGTCCCACCTGCTCTTCTCTCTTTCCCATATGTTTGGGGGAGGTGGAGGCCCAGAAGTGGGAGGAGGAAGGAGCAGACAGGAAATGGAACAGAAGGGATTTTTCCCTCCCTTCCCCCTTGACCACTGCCTCCATGGTGGTCACGCTGTGTTGGTGTTGGGCAGAGGGGACAAGTCTGCATGGGTGGAGATGGGAGGAGGAAGTGGCTTTCTGGAGGCTCCTGGCCAGGCAGCTGTGAGCAGGACGTTTGTCAGTCTGGGATCCCCTCCTTACATACCCAGGGGGGGTGACAGGAAACAGAGAGGGGTGACCATCCATCAGACAGCTGGGGCTCTGGTACCCCACAGCACTAAACAATCACAGCCTTTTAGTTCCATTTCCCTAAAACGTAAAACACAAATGCCAAAAGCCCTTTTGCATTTTCCCACAGTAAATTCTGGGCTGATAAGTGAGAGCAGGTCGTACCTAGTCCAATGAGAATGTCATACATCAAATCGAATTTGCAGAAGACTAGAATTGCCCCTAACAAGTGCTACACGGTGCCTGGAATGTGACGATAAATATTTAACAGCTGCCTCGCTGAACACCAACTGGCCAAAGAATCTATTTTAAAAAATCTCTGCATGTTATTACTGGCTGTTAATTTCAATACACGTGGTGGTAAACCTGACGTGTATCTGATAAATCTGGCATGGGAGGATGAGCAGGTATGCGATGCTGAATCAGAAGTAAGGAGGCTCTAGAGCAGACTTTGCTAGTCCAGAGTTTCCATGTGATGTTGAAGCTGACTTTATGTATTAGCAATCTAATGAAACCCCCCAGAATTGTGACTGGAAAGAAATGGTGGTTTAGAAAATAACTTTCTTTTGGGCCAGCCCGGTGGCGCACTGCTACAGTGCGCCGCTTGGGAAGCGCGGTGGCGCTCCCGCCGAGGGTTCGGATCCCATGTACAGACCGGCCGCTCACTGGCTGAGCGGGGTGCGGGCGCAACACCGAGGGTTGCGATCCCGTTGCCGGTCCCGGTCCGGTACGGGCACGACACTGAGGGTTGCGATCCGTTGCCAGTCACGAAAAAAGACAAAAAGGAAAAAAAAAAAAAGAAAATAACTTTTTTTTGAGTTCATCCTGATCTTTCTGTTGCACATAATCAGTGTTATTCATCATTTTTGCTTATTTTAATCAGGGACTTATACAGAATCCCCCCATATTGAATGAAGTGCCTTAATTTTCTAAGCCTACAGGCAAAATCAAATAGCACTCTCAAGGGATTGTAAACCAAACCAAGGCTTTGTTTTCTGTGTTTTTCCCCCAAAAGAACCTAGAAAAATCTGAATCTCCAATAACAAACCATCTTATCTCCCACTTTCCCTATCCCCGAACCATCAGATATGAAAGAACATCAGATGTTCTTTGAACTAAAATTTTCATTTGGCTTAAAATCCTTTAAAATTTGAATTTTAATGTACACTTTCCCTCCCAGACTCCCTCTTCTTGGCTAAATGCTGGAGTGTCACCGGGTCCTGTTGTCAGCTGGGCTGATGGGTGCTGGAGGTGGTCATGTTCCACCCATGGACCAGGTGATTTTTATTTATTTCTTAGCTGAGTTTCATCTCAGGGGTGAAGCACTCAGCGGGTCCTGTTGTCAGCTGGGCTGATGGGTGCTGGAGGTGGTCATGTTCCACCAATGGACCAGGTGATTTTTATTTATTTCTTAGCTGAGTTTCATCTCAGGGGTGAAGCACTCAGCCTTATATGAAAAAGTAAATATTCCGGCCAGCCCCCAAAAGAAAAAAATAATAATAATAAACACAGAATTTCAGCAAAGGACATAAAAATTCAAAAAAAGAAAAAAAGGTAAATATTAAAATAATTTTTAAAAAGTCCTGGGTAACGAGAGGGCATTGTGAATATTCTCTTTGTCAACACCATTCCCGTGGTCTTATAACCCCAATAACCAACTTTTGTATTTCTTTCAAAACTACTTCAGCAAATGACATTGTTGATAGTCCACAGATTATGAAAGTATTTGAATGAAAAAGATGGCACTTATATTCTGGACGGTATGGCCACTTGCCACCAGCATCCTGTTAATTCACCTAAACACTTTATAACAAAAAAGGAACAAGCTGACAAAACAGGGTTACTTATTGCTGATTTCTGCTAAGTGTGGGAATCCCATGGATCACAAAGGATCTTATAAATGTTGATGTAAATATGTTTTAGGCCAGCAACAGTCTCAGATCTGATTGAAATCTTCAGCCGTATTTAAGCGAGAGGATAATTTTATTTTTGTCATGGCATGAATCCATTCTGATTGTAGGCTTTGGCCCCTACACGAGCCTACAAAAGATTTCCCCCAATTGCAGATTCAAATATTAAATTAAAACAAATGTGCAAAAAAGAGAAACAAACAAAGGATCCGCCACCAAAACAAAACCTACCCCTCCACGAAACCACCAGCTTTGGGAAAAAGCAATGTCCACCATCCCATGTCATTTTCCTAAACTCTTAAAATAAAAGAACAGATTCACCTTCTTCCCTGACCTATAGCTGTTCCAATGTCCGGAGAGGCCAGTGAAGGAAAGAGAAGTGGCCTAGAAGTGCCTGGGGTGGTCTCCGTGCCCCCTCGTGGGCCACTCCTCATCCACCCACCTGCGCAGAACCTTCTCCACGTCGACCCTGTGGTAGAGCCGGCAGAGCTCCATCAGCTGGACCACTGTCCTCTGACTGTTCCGGAGCAGGAACTCCAAGGTAGGACTCTGTGGCCTCTGTTCCAGGAAGCACAATTCATCATAGGACATGCCCCATTTGCTTGCAAAATTCCTCCAGTTTTTTACCGTGGGGTGACATGGATCCAGCTTTATCCTGATCACGTCTAATAAGTCCTGATCGTTGAGCAAGTCACTTATGGTGGGGGCCCGGAGAGAGCAGGAGGAACAGGACTTGTCCTTGCTGATCTCTGCAGGAAGAAACCACACAATCCACATGTCAACGAGAGGCCTGACACATGCATTCATTACTTACGTCCCTTATTTTCCTGCTGAATTGTCAACTGTTGAAGGATAACACAGCTTACCCTACAGGGACATATTTCAGAATGCTAATTTCTGTGCACTCACATGATAATGCATTATTCTTTATAAAGACACACGAAGACGGGCTGCTTTGCTGGAAGCAGTAGTAAGATGTTATAAAGCCAGTTTCCCTTTTCTCCAGGACTCTCTGTGTCTCATGGTGCGCATGTGTGACACTGCTGGCTGCAAGGAAGGCTCCGAGGAACAGAGCTCTCTCCATGGACAGATCACCAGTCCAGGGCAGGCAGACTCTGCCAAGCCCACACTTACACACACCTCCAACCTTGCCCCTTCCACGTCTCCAGTCATTCCTGACAGCTTCTTAACATCAACTCAGTGTATTAGAGTGGAAAGCATTGCAAAATTCTTTAAAAGGTCTTTAAAACAGACAAACAAATGGTGAAGGTTATGGTGACCTTTATGACACATGATATTATAGTGAGTCGGGGCCTTCCCAATTTAGGAAAGTGAAGAATTTGGACAGAGGGAGTCACTCTGGTGATCATAATAAGGTTGAGACCAGCAAGTGTAATTAAAAGGTAATAAAACAAGAGTCATGAAAATTATGCTGATACTCTTTGACCTACTAATGTGACTTTTGGGAATCCAGCCTAAAGAGATCATCTAAAATATGTATATACATGATTTTTTTTTTTTTTTTTTTTTTTTTTTTTTTTTTTTTTGTGACCGGTAAGGGGACCGTAACCCTTGGCTTGGTGTCGCCCATACCATACTCAGCCAGTGAGCGCACCGGCCATCCCCATATAGGATCCGAACCTGCAGCCTCAGTGCTCCCAGCGCCGCTGTGCTCCTGGCGCCGCACTCTCCCAAGTGAGCCACAGGGTCGGCCCTACATGAACATTTTTATTATAGTGTTGTTTACATTATCAATTAAAAAAAACTTAAAAGTTGGGGAATTAGTGAAATAAATTACAGTACTGTACTACTCAATGGAGTATTATTTAAGTAATTATGAAGACTGTGTAACAACCCAGAAAATGTTTGCAATGTTAAGTAGAAATTGCAAGATATAAAAAATGCATGTATTCTACGATTTAGAAATATGTGAAAACTCAGCATTACCATAGAAGGAAAGATACAAAAATAATAATAGCTATGGGGTAAGATTATGTTTCTATTTTCCAAACTTTCTCTAGTGGGTGTTAGGTTCCTGTGATAATTAAAACAATGTATTACATTGTGGGCTGGCCAGTTAGTTCACTCAGGAGAGCAAGGTGCTGATAACATCAGGGTCAAGGGTTCAGATCCCCATACCTGCCAGCCATCAAAAAAAAAATTTAAAAAATTAAAATATAAAATAATGTATTACATTAACAAATAGCTTGCTTAGCTTAGCACAGACAGGACTTATCAGTGGAGCATCTCTCCTGTTTGCCAGCTTGTGACTATGTCCTGAGCCTAAGCCTTCCTACCTCCTCCGTGATGTGTTTCACCAAGTATCTCCTTCCTTTCACCTTATTTCCAGCTACACTTTTTTTTGAGAGCTAAAAAGCAATTATTTCTTATTATCACATTATTATTTTAAAATTTACACATTGTAATTGTACACACCTATGGGATACAATCTGATATTCTGACACATATATATGTTGTATAATAATTGGGTGAGGGTAGTTAATGCGTCAGTCACCTCATGCATTTATCATTTCTTTGTGGTGAAAACATTCAAACGCCTCTCCTCTAGCTGTTATGTAATGTACAAAACGTAACTATTAACCATAGTCACCCTACTGTGCAATAGAACATCAGAACTTATTCCTTCTATCTAATTGTGATTTTGTGCCCATTGGCCAGCCTCTCCCAGTTTTCCCTCCCCAGTCTCTGGTAACCTTTTATTCTCTGCCTTTGTTAACATCAACTTTTTATTTTTCTTAGATTCCACATATGAGGTCATGTGGTATTTGTCTTTCTGTGCCTGGTTTACTTGACGTAATGTCCTCCAAGTCCATCTATGTTGCTGCAAATGACAAGATTTCATTCTTTTTTATGGCTGAATAGTACTCCACTGTGTATATATACTACATTTTTTACATCCATTCATCTGTTGTGAGACACTTAGGTTGATTCCATCTCTTGGCTATTGTAAATTGCATTGCAATAAACACGGGAGTGCAGGTATCTCTTTGACATACTAATCTCATTCCCTTCGGGTATATACCCAGTAGTGGGATTGCTGTATTAAATGGTAGTTCCATTTCTAACTTTTCGAGGAGCCTCTGTACTGTTTTCCACAATGACTGTGTTAGTTCACACTCTACCAACAGTGTACAAGTGTTCTTTTTCTTCACATCCTCGCCAACATTTGTTTTCTTTTGTCTTTTTGATAATAGCCATTCTAACTGCAGTGAGGTGGTATCTCATTGCTGTTTTGATTTGCACTTCCCTGATGATTAGTGAGGTTGACCACTTTTTCAAATGTCAGTTGGCCATTTGCATGCCTTCTTTTGAGAAGAGTCTATTAAAATCTTTTGCCCATTTCTCAATTGAGTGATTTGGGGGTTTTTTTGCTGTTAAGTTCCTTATATATTCTTGATATGAACCCCTTGTCAGATGTATAGTTTGCAAATATTTTCTCCCATTCTCCTCACTGTTAACAGTTTCCTTAATGTGCAAAAGCTTTTTAGTTTGATGTCATCCCACTTGTCTATTTTTGCTTTTATTGCTTGTGCTATTGAAGTCTTATTTAAAAAATCCTGAGTTCTGGTCAAGATGGTGGAATAGACGGTCCCCAGCATCACTCTCTCTCACAAATCAACGAATTTACAACTATAAAAATGTAGAAACAGCTAAGCTGTGGCTGCTGGGGCTCAGGGGAAGAGGAGGAGAGACCACGGAGTTCATGAAGGTGGAAGAAACTACAATGAGAGAAAGAAAAAGCTGCTCTGAGCATTTCAGGCCACGGCCACTTTAAGGCTGGAACTGCTGAGCGCATGGAGCAGGAGCGGGCAGAAGCCACAGCTGTGCCCTTCAGATGGAGTTACTTAGAGGCAGCAGTGGGGAAGAGGGCCTTGGTGGCCCCCAGGACAGCAAGACCACTAATAGAGTTCCCGTGGACCCACACAGGAGCAAGGAGCCAGAAGAACTGAGAAAGGGAGCCATTCAGAGGCCGGTGAGTCATTGCAAGGGACCGGTGCAGGGCCTGTCCCGTGGGAAGTGTTTGGAGCACAGGTGGCGGGGGAGATGGGCCCACCAGGAGAACACTGGGACACAGCAAGGACAGCTCATCTGCCCCCCAATCAACACAGGACAACTCAGAGGAGACTGATCAGGAATGCAGAATTGAATGGGGTGCAGTTTGATGAAAAAACTCAGGTCCAGATCAGAGATTCTACACGACCCAGATCCACTGAGTCTCTGGAGAGCTGGAAGTACCTATAAGGTCAACCGTTAAGCCCTGAGCTGCACAAAAAGCCTTCCCTGGGAAACAGCAGCAAAGCAGCAATTTAGCTCAACCACAGAGCTCAAGTGCTGGTTCCCACAGGAAGTTCCCCCATTTTAGAAGTAAGCAAAGGACAAAAGATTAGTTCCAGCTCAGGCACACCACCAGCACCTTGGGTCCTGCTTGGGAACCAGAGGCTTAGATCTGGGGACAGACCCCACTCCCACTTCCAGGCAAACTGTGCCAGCGCCTCAGGGCCCACCCAAGGACCCAAGGCATAGGGAAGGGGACTGGACCACCTTCTCAAAACCAGGCATGATGTGCCAGTGACTTGAGGCCCACCTGAGGACCCAAGGCATGGAGAAGGGGACCGGACCACTCTGCCACATGGTGCCAGTGCCTCGGGGCATGCCTGGGGACCCGAGGCATGGAGAAGGGGACCAGATCCCCGTCCCACAACCAGGCACACCAAGCCAGCACCGTGGGTCCTGCCCAGTGACCTGAGGCTTGGAGCCAGGGACCAGACCCTCCTCCCACAACCAGGCACACCACACCAGCACCTCAGGGCCCACCCAGTGACCCAAGACACAGAGAAGGGGACCGGACCCCCATCACACAATCAGGCATATGGTGCCAGCACCTTGGTGCCCACCTAGGGACCAGAGGCATAGAGAAGGGGACCAGACACACCCCACATCCAGGGACACCACCAGCACCAAGGAGCATGCCAAAAACATCACCTCCTTGTGGGTGGCCCACCACAGCCGCCACAATGACCATGGCTGCCACAAAATGGCTAGACACCACAATCACCACACAGATGGTCCGCCAGCCACTGGAGTGCATTGACACAAGGAGAGTCACCAGTAGAGACAAAGAAAAGAAGAGGGTGTCTCTCTCCACAAAGCCCATTTCAGAGTGACAGAAGCATCTGC